GAATCCATATTATTACTTATGTTTTATTACTTGTGAGGCACTTTTCTCAATTCGATCCTGGATTTAACATGGTAGATGTTCACGTGATCTGGAAAAGGAGATCAAAGGCGCCGACACGAAGTGGACCTACTGGTTATACTGTGATTATAGCGAATTGTGATAATGCTATAAATGCTTTGAAGCATTTTCTGATTGGTCAATTTGTAAAATTCTTTGTTCTGATTGGTCAATCAAATGCTTCAAAGCATTCGTAGCATCAAATTGACCGCAATTAACCTATGTGTCATATATAAAACTAATAGCCATTTCAAATTATAATTTCTAATAATTCTTATTTTTTAATAAACTATTACAAATATTATTTGATTCGTTAATTACAGATTAAATTAATTAGAATTCAGTTCATTACAATTTAAATTAATACTGCAAGCAATAATATATGGATGTTTCTAATTATATCTAAAATTTATAAAAAATTTATCACCCAAAAAAACTATTAAAAAAATGTAAATACATAAATGTTACATAACTTTGCCATTGTATCATTTTTTGAAGTAATGTTTCTAAAAGATACAAAAAAGAAAATACATTGCGGCTTAAAAAATAACAAATATTATTTGATTCGTTAATTACAGATTAAATTAATTAGAATTCAGTTCATTACAATTTAAATTAATACTGCAAGCAATAATATATGGATGTTACCACTTAGTAAAAATAGTATAAATGGAATTTTATTATGTTCTTATATATATATATTTTTATAAAATATTTTTTTGCATGCAATGAGTAAAAAGACAAAACAAAAATCAAAGGAAATGTTATTTAACAAATAGTTGTATATGGAGTTAATTATCTAATTATGAATCAAATATAATGTTAAGCATTTTGCAAAATTTTCTAACACGATAAAACTATCAAAAGCAATATCATATTAAAATACTAAAAATATATATATTATCTAGTTCAATGTAATTTAAAATCTAGCATGTCGCTTCATGTAATTTAAAAAATATATACAGAGTGAGTCATTTTAAGTAACGCATTAAAATATCTCGAGAATAAGACATAGAATTGAAAAATCTTCAGACAAAAGTTGTATGACATCAATTAGGGGGAAATAAAATGGTAGCATTGGTTTGACCTTGGGTGGCGTTGTCAAGGTTAAGAAAAGATTACTTAATTTTTTTAAGTGAAACCTTCCATTTTTCATTGCATATTCTTGTAGCTTATCTCGAGAGCTTTTCAAAACACTATAATAAAATATTTTTTCATTAAGCACTTTTCGAGCTATAAAGCTTATTAGAGTTACAGTATTGCTGGCATTAGCATTATCCAAGGTGTCCGAACAATGATTAAAATCTTTTGAATGTTGTTCAGGATCATGACCTTGACAACATATGTCAAAGTCATGACCATTGAAGGTTGTTCTTTTTTTTTAAATAAAAATAAGAATAACCTTTAATGATCTTGACATATGTTGTCAAGGTCATGATCCTAAACAACATTCAAAAGGTTTTAGCCATTGTTCGGACACCTTGGATAATGCTAATGCTAGTAATACTGTAAGCAGTAACTTTCAAGCCTTATATCTTAAAAAATTAATTATGGAAATTAATTTTGGAACGCTTAATGGAAGCTTAATTATGGAAAAATATTCTATTATAATGTTTTAAAAACCTCTCGAGATAAGTTACAAGAATATGTAATAAAAAATGAGAGGTTCTATTTAAAAAATTTTAAATGACCTTTCACGGACCTTGACAATGCCAACCAAGGTTAAACCAATGCTACTATTTTATGAAGTTCTCCCTTGAAGTCATACAACTTTTGTCTGAAGTATTTCAATTCCATCTCTTATTTTTGAGATATTTTAGTGCGTTATTTAAAATTATTCATACTGTACATACATATATTTGAAAAATAAAATGTGTAAAAAGATATATATTACATTAATCGTCTTATATCGCCTTCTCATTGTGAAGTATTGATACCATTCATCTAATCAAAAAACTGAAACAAAAACCGGAAAAAATTCATTATTATGAATATTTCAGATAAAATAGAACCAAATTTGGCACAAAGTTACTTTATAAAAGTAACTCGTTACCGTTACTCATTATTGATTTGAAAAAATAAGTCGTTACCATTACTCAAAAACTAACGAGTCGCATTACTATTTTCGTTACTTTTTTTCTATACATTAACATGATATCATACAAATTTTTATAGTAAATGTAAATATAAAATATCATAGAATTTCATCTTCTAGTAAACGAATATGGATCAAAATCTAATATGTTCTAATTTACAACTGCTACCACATACGCGCACACTGCACACATACACAGTGTCCCATTTTAATTAAGCAGCCAATTTTTGGAAATCACGAGATTTTAGAGAAAAATATTTAAGACAAAAGTTGTATGATTTCAAGAGAAACATAAAATTGGTTTAACCTTGGGTGGCATTGTCAAGGTCAGGAAAAGGTCACTTTAAATTATATTCAAATGGAACCACCCCCTATTTTTCATTGCATATTCTTGTAGCTTATCTCGAGAGCTTTTTACTAAACACTACAATAAAGTATTTTCCATTAAGCAGTTTTCGAGTTATAAAGCTTGAAAGTATCACCGGCATTAGTATTATCCAAGGTATTCAAATAATGAGCAAAATCCTTTTGAATGTTATTCAGGATCATAAATATTGACAACATATATCAAGATCAAGACCATTAAAGGTGTTACTCTTATTTTCATTTTTGAAAATTATTTTTTGAAAAAAAAAAATTTCTAATGGTATCATTTTATATCTCTCTTGAAGTCATAAAACATTTGTCGTAAATATTTTTCTCTAAAATTTCGTGATTTCCAGAAATTAGCTGTTTAAATTAAAATGGGACAATCTGTGTGTGTGTGTGTGTGTGTGTATTAGGATAGGCCGAAAAAATAAATTTTAGAAAATAAATTAGTAACATTTCCCAAAGATTAGCTATGGACCTTAATATGGTACGTTTGGATAAAATTTCATCGAAATCAATTAATATCTTCAGGTTGTTCCTCAACTTTAAAATTAGTAAGTTATTATGCATTTCTTTGATAGATGTGTCAAAATTCGAAAAAATACTTGAATTTCAATAAAGTTTGATATTACCTGATGTTTTTTGGTCGCTGAACACGAATCCGAGGACAGTATACATTTCAAAATGACGGATTCGAAATATATTCTTATATAGTGTCCCATTTTAAATAATACATTAAGATTTCTCGAAAAATATGATAGATACGAAAAAATGTTTCAAACAAAAATAATATGGTTCGGAAGGGGACATAAGAAAGCACATCATTGATTTTATTTTGAGTGGCGTTAAGATCAGATCAAAATCACAATTTTTTAAACGGAATTATATATATATATATTTTTTTTACATAATAATTCTTCTATAATTATTCTGCATATAAAAGTATTAAGGTAAAATTATCAAAAATTAATATTTTATAAGATATTTTATAATGCCATATTTCAACATATAATATGAAATATTTTGTATTGATTTCTTAATAATAGGTTCTAATATTTTTAGACACAGAATAAAGAGATGAATCGATTGGTGTAAAGAAAACACACAAATGTTAAAAAAAAAATGTAATTTGCAAGAAATGCATAAACTTACTAATTTTAAGGTCGAGGGATTACCTGAAGATATAATCGATTTCGATGAAATTTTACCCAGACCATATTGAGGTCCATAGCTAACCTTTGGGGAATGTTATTAATCAATTTTCAAAATTTTTTTTTCGGCCCATCCTAATAATACTAGGGTGGGCCGAAAAAAATATATACATTACTATATAATATTATATATATATATATATATATATATATCACATATTATATAATATACATGTAATGTATAATGTATATAATAAACATGTATATAAACGTGAAAAGCAAAAACTTTATCTTTCTTGATGTTCAAAGGTAAGAATTTTTACTTTTCATGTTTCCATTTTAGGGAAAAAGTTACACGATCGGTACCTAGACGTTAGATGTGGTCCTTTTGAAAGAGATAGAAGGAAGTGCACAGCGCTTACAGCGCTTCTTCTTTCAAGAATATCCCTTCTACCTCCTTTTCAGCGGAGCTGCGCCTCATTTTTGATAATATTTAGTCTGTTCTTTTCAACTGGACTTCTTGCGTTGGAAAAAAAAGAAGGAAAAATGAAGAAAAAGTTCAGCTAAAAAGAACAAACCTATTGGTCTCGACAAATTTATACGCGATGCTAGAAATAAAATAACGATAATAGTAATTAGTCAAATCGTTACCGTCACCCAAAAAATATAACTGCGTTATCATTAACGTTACATTTCCTCGGAAAAGGAAATGTAACATCGTTACCCATTCGTTACGGAAAGAAAATAATTGTAACGGTACCGAGATTATAAGTAACGCGTTACTTACCAACCCTGAATAGAACATGTAATAACGCTTATGCGTTTTACTTTTTGCAACATTTTCCAGAATTAATCTTATTACAAAAGTTTCAGTATAGTTTCGGAGGTCTTTTTATCACATTCTATCAAATTATCAACTGTGTAATAAGACAGTTATAAAATCGTAAAAATAATTTAGTTCCAAACGCAACAATTCTTATGAGGTATACTTGACAATTCACTTAGTCTCTATTAATCATTAATTATACGTCTATATTTTCGATTGGGTGGAAAAACTTCTTCATCTTCCTCCTTGTCAGGTGTGAGGAAAGGGTCATCATACGCATAATTTGGTGCCCATTTCAATAACAACTTCTCAAAAAACTCTTCTAAATTTCTAGCTTCTTGATAAACTTGTGAATCCACCTGAAAAAGAAAGATAAGAAGCAACAATGGAAAAGAAAGCGATAATAATAAACAAAATTCGCTTACAGGATTGTAGGTAAAAGCGTTTTTAAACATGAGTCTGATGTCCGCCATGACTTGTCTCAGATCTGTATAATGGCCTATATGATCAGGTTTTAATTTATCTCTGATTATATCTAATGCAATTGGCTTCTTAATAATCCGATGATAATCAGTAATCTGAAGATAAAAATGATTACTAGATTACTCTGACTTGTCAATCGAGCATCAATGTTGAGAAAAAAATTATGTTGCATCGTCATTTACCTCACTCGATACAACTTCCCGAAAAGGTAAGCTCTGCTCGTATTGACAATAAAGTTCCAAGACAATCCTTTGGGCAATTCGCAATTCCTTAGGGCTCATACCGTTTAGTCGTTTTTCACTGTTCGATATATCTTCAGAACAATCGAGCACATTTGTACACAACATACATTGCCAAGTTTCACTCTCGCTAAATAAAATACTAATTAATAATAGTGGAAAGGTTGGCAAAATAAAGATACGCTAAGAATAGATAACTTACTCTGGGAATGATTTTAAACTAGGTATATGACAATAAAGATGGAAGACTTTTGGACATTTATCGCAACACAATACTGCATCTCCTCCATCCATGCATACAGCACACCAGTCTTCGTTTGGATCATCTTTCATCACCATAGAAGTGGTTGCACTTTTCGAATTATCCGCTGAAAAAAGCATACAAATTAAAATAAAAGGTCTGAGCCAAGTTTCAGTTCTATATATCAAACCAATTAAGAAGTACAGTTAACATTTTGAGTGGTAAGTTAAAGTAAAGTAACATCAAGAGTTTAACTAACCCGTTGCATTCTCAGCCATCGAATTTATATCTTCGTCGGTAGAACTATCGACTTGTGCTGAATCTATCTGATTTCTTTGAGCTTCTGGTATTACTAGGATTCCATTACTATCTAATTTTGCAATAGTGAGCATTAGGTCATTCAATGATTTCTGACAAAACTTATCTAAACTCTTTTCGGTGTCGTCCGACTTGCCAGGAGTAGTGACGGGACTAGGCGTTTTGGGTATGGACGAGCTGACAGCATGTAACAATGAGACGGTGGCTGAATTTTGCAACTGTGGTGGATTATCACACGAACTGGCGTTTACATTGGTGCTATATTTTTGATTATTGCTGGTTTGTTGATTTCTTAAAGTAATTTTGTAGGTATCATTGGTAGGAACTGGCGTATAAGTGGGTACATGTTGCTGCCGAGGCATAGTATAAGGAAGGCAAGGATTTGCTTGTTGCGGTATATGCCAACGATGGATAGGATAATTCCCAATGTGCTGCGTTGACGGAGAAGTTAAATTACATTGTTGTACACGTGACGTCACAGGTACAATGGATGTACTTGCCGCTTGATATGTGTGAGGTGGTGGTACTTGGACTCTCTGAGGGTTACCGCTTGAAGAATGTCTAAATAGCCCAGGAGAAAATCGGTACGGTATGTGATTGGCGGACGCCCGGAACGATGGATAAGGAGGCGGCGGAATGGAATTATGCGCGAGAAGCCCGCGTAAACTCGTGTTTTGTCCAAGCTGATCCAGATTTTGAGCTTGCTGATGTGGATGCGTGGACGATGTTACTTGTTGATGGCAGGTTCCCAACGGGCGTTGTTGATGCATCAATGGAGGTTGTTGCAATCTGTTGTTACTATAGTTGACAGAATACGGCACTCGTGGCTGATGCGCTTGTGGTGACGATCGAGGTGACATACTGTGCGGCGCAATATACTGTTGCATATAATTTTGCGATTGTTGCGCATGTTGTTGTTGTGGTGGTGGTTGCTGTTGCTGCTGCTGCTGTTGTTGTTGCTGCGGGAGATGCAGAGGTGCTTGTTGCTGATAAGAATTCTGTTGCGCGTTAACAGATTGCTGCGTTATCATTACAGGTAACGGTACTTGTTGAATGACAACGGGAACAATACCATCTGTATGAGTATTTGTCGAATTTGTGGTTTGCTTTTGTTCGGCCTGTGACTCATTATAAGTCGCGGTGCTGTTATTGACAGCCAAAGGCGATATGGACGGATATACTCTACCATCGACGACTATTGCCCCGATTGATGACACCACTACAGACGTAATATAAATGAATCGGCTTATTTTTACATATAATGTAAGTTATAGCTAATTGTTAACTTTCTCTAATTTTAGGATTAAATCTCTAAATTACTGGTTAATCCGAATATCAAATTAAAAATTTTGATATTGTTACAAACCTTTTATTAAATCTGGTAATTTTTCCAGAGATAAATGTATCCTGACAGGTATCTCAGGATTTGGGATATCGGCTCGTCTACTTTTTATTCTTTGTAAATGACTTGTAACAGATCTGTAATCATATACAGTGAGGGGCAAAAGTTCCGAAAACGGCTTATTATTTTAGAAAGTATTGGTTTTATAGAAAAATGTTTTGAACAAAAATTATTTAATATTTTTAAAGGGAACATAAAGCAATAGCCTTATTAAAGCAGTAGTTTAATTTTGATTGACGATCTCAAAGTCATCATAATCAAAATAATTTTTTAAAATAAAATATAACTTTTGATGTAAATTGATTTCCCCCTTAATGTTCTAAAAGATGTTTCCTTTAACTCGAGTATGTAGAATATTTCTCTTGCTTTTAATGGTCAAACATCACAAAAATAAATTGTTTGTTTGGAAGAAACAAATATTGTGACAAAATTGTTTTTCATGTTTAATATTTTACAAGATTTCAAAATCATCTCCATTCTATTTAATAAAACATGTCTTTTTCACATATAATTCCTTTAGTTATTCTACATATGAAAGTACCATTATAAAAGATTTCAAAATCATCTCCATTCTATTTAATAAAACATGATCTTTTTCACATATAATTCCTTTAGTTATTCTACATATGAAAGTACCATTATAAAAAAAATCAATATTTTACGAGATATTTTATACTTTATTTTTGTATATTTTGACGTAAAATTGAAAATATTTTTATATTAAAACTATCTTATAAATTAATCATTTCTTGATAATTTTACTTTATTATATAGAATAATTAACAGAATCATGTAAAAAAATATTTTATTTTAAAAAAATAATGAAATCTTGAAATGTTAGCAAATAATAAACCTAACATTTAAAAAATACTGCTTGTCATAATATTTGCCCTTTTAAAACCAATTTTTTTTTAAATATAAAATATTTTGTAAATTAGTTTTTCTGATACTAAAATAGTGTGTATGCATGTGTAAATATATATAATTTTAGTATACTTTTTACTGTATAATAATTCCATGTCCGAGCCTTTCTTCAAAGCATGAGTGCCAAAGAGTATACAATGATCCGTAAGTCTGGACAATTGATCTAAAGCAACTTTTTTCTCATTTAATGTATTCTGCTTTTGATCACACACTTCATTTAATCTCATTACCAATTGCTTTCCTCTCGTATTAATAGCATTTGTTAATCTAACACAAAAAGATATATTATATAGAATCATATATCTTAATACATATATGCTTATAATATATACTTACTGTACTACCATTTGTGTTATATCTTGAACAAGACTTTTTTTCTTTTCCAGTATTAGAATCTGTCTATCTTCTATAACTTTCATCGCACTTTTTAATAATACTCGTTTGTAACTGAAAATTACATATACATATGTTCTTTAAATCTGCACTTTTCTACTAATATTTTACCAATTGTTGTATGTACCTGTAGATCCTTACCTTACTTCTTTAAGCAAAATCGACATGGAAGTACGAGTTTCAGCTGCAATTTCATGAATAAATTTATATTTATGGTCACGATGTTCACTGAGTTGACAGTCTCTACAAGTCAGTCTATCGCATGTTTGACAAAATAAAGACAGCTGTTCATGGGAATGGATTGTGCAAAACAAATATCCAGGTATTTTCTTATTTCCTCTTTTAACATTGTCTCTATCATTTGCTATTTCATCCTTAGGTTTAATTATATGATCCTTGGTTATCTTCAATCTTTGATGAGCCTTAAAATAGTTTCATCCAATATGATTAATCAACATTTTACTTAGATATTCGTTTAAAAATCCATTCTGTCATCTAAGAGGTAATATATAAATATACATATATTGCTTTCATTTAATATAAAATTTATAATCACCAGAACACAACTCTGGCAGATGAATTCTTCGCATTCCATGCACCAACTAGTAGCGACAATGTTATCGTGACAGCTAGTACATTTCTTTTCCTCTTCGGCTTCTTTACTTTCATCGTCCAATCCTAGATCGCTTTCCTCCTCTAACAACTTTGATAGAAATCTATTCTCAATCAAATTTTCCACCTGGCTAGTTACATTGCAAACATGACACATAATCACGTTACTCTCTACTGCAAAAGATAACATTACTACACATATAAAATGTGTTTAACGTAAAAGCATAATAAATGCCAAAGTAGGATACCAATGAATATTACTAAGTTTCAACAATCCAACTGATGGAACATGCATTGGCCTAGTTTACACCGAGCACTTGATAGGCGTACTAAGTATCAAATCCGTATCAAATCGCTTGATACGGTCGGTGTAAATGTTCGCGAATTATCTTAGTACGGTCTGATCTGATACTCCTGAATCGCTAGTATCAGACCAAAATAGTACGCATATCAAAAGATTCTGACGCACTGTAAATACTTAGCTCGTTTTCAATCGGATTAAATACGTCACG